TTGGGTTTTTTTTGAAACCAAATTGTGGCTTATAGATATGCAAAATTCACACAAGTTTTTTTTTTCTTTCTGTCTTTTTCTTGTCTGATTTCCTGCATAACAATGAAAATAGCTTCCATTCATGCCTTGCAATTTAAAAGCATTAATCTTTCTTGATTCATTTCTAATAGTTGTTGGGATCAGAGCAGTTTCAAAAACATCTTGAACTAAAAATTGTCAGTGGTCAAGAATCTATCACAAACTTTTAGAAATAACAGAATTACCTCTGGGGATTTTTTTTTTTTTTAGCTTTACATTCTGAAATGACCCAGCTCCCTTTTTGTTTTCTTAAAGACAAACAGATGAAATTCCCAGAAGTTGGTGTAAAATAATCTTAAATACTTTCATGACTCTTTAGATCCTTTACAATATCCTACACCCTTTCTGAACTGTTGACTTTTCCACTTATCAGTCATCTTCCAGATGCTACCATGCTAAGTAAAATGGTTTCTCTTCTGCAATAATATTATTTTGACACTTTTATTGTGATTCCAGTTTCCATTTAGAAAATGTGTATCAGCTCTGTGGCAAGCCATATACCATACACCTGCTCCAATATTTAAATGCAAGTGAAAAGTGTCTTGATCCCTGCATCACATCTCTGTCATTGCAAAAAGTAAGACTGAATGAATTGCTAACCTGTTTCTGGATCCACTGAGAAGTATGGCTGTCCCTGGAGGATGCTGTATACCACTTTGGCACTGTTTCCATAGTTGGCATCATCAGCATCTGTGGCTGTCACTTGAATAACAGATGTACCTAAATGGGTACCAAACAAGGAATCAGCAGATTTTAAGACAGTACCTATTTCTTGTAAACCATGTACTGTTGTTTCAGTACTGAATTGGGTAAAGAGTTGAAGAGCAACTGGTAGACAAATCCAGTGTTATCCTACCCAAGCAAACAGTAAAATAAAATCTCTTCTTCTTTGTGACTAAAACTAAAATCATTATCACTTAAGATTCAAGCTTCAGGTACACATGAGGGACTGATGTGTCTTTGAAACCAAACACAGCACTGGGTTTTTTGGTGATCAAACAGTTTTGAAATTGTTCACTTTAAGCTAGGTAACTGCTGCATGGAAAGTACCATTATGATTCTTAACTTTGGCTTAATAGTAAATTGAACTAAAGCAGACTTCCCCATACTCATTTTTTGCTTACATGACCACCTTCGAATATCTGAAGTCAGATTGAAGAAAATATTGTGTCTCATCCTAACAAATCTTTAAGATTATTTAAAAAAATTAGCTTGGTTTTACAATAAGAAATTCTGGATTTTGTTTTGTTTTGTTTTTCTCTCTTGATCAAAGTTATCCCCCTATTGGCAAATAATTGCCATTAAACTACAATTACATTTTCTCACCGTTCAATTATTTTGCATGAAAATGGCTTACCCATGTCCTGTGATCACAATGAGGAGAATATAGGCTACATGGGATTAACAACATTGTTAGCCAATACATTTGGTATGGTTTATGGGCTAGAAGAAAATGAAAGCTTCTTTAAAGACTTCCTTGTAAGATATATGAAAGGACAAAACTGTTCTTCACAAGCTTTTCTTTCTAAGCAATTTTAAAGATGTCAGGATACTTTTTGTTAACACAATCTAAAGCCTGTATGGGTAAATACAGCCAGTTAGAAGGCTAAATGTTCTTCAACTCCTTGCCAAGGGCAGAAGGCCAACTGAGAAGCTCTTTCCCCTATTTTTGGCTGGGTATTTTTTATGTTTTACTTTTTATGTTGTACTTCCCTTGTAAGAAAAAGGTCTACTTTTTGTAGGAAACTGTCCACTTAAGTGCTATAATTTCCTATTCTTTTTTTTCTTCACTTTCATTATCTCTAGATTGAAGTTCACCCAGATAACTTGCAGTCAAGTATCTGTCTTGACTGTAAATTTAGAAGATACTAATTTACATGTGACTAATGGAACTAAAGTAAATAATCTCTACTGTCATTCTTCTGTGCCACAAGGCATTGGGGAAAGTAGAAACCCAGAGTAATCAAAAGAGATTTATGAAAGCACGTGTCACTATTAGGTCCTGTTAGATGCATCTATTTTCTCATAGTACATAATACCACTTTACACATAATAGTTTTACCTACATAATAGTAACAATTCCAAATATTTCAGGTTATCTGAAAAGCATGACAAGAGGGGAGGATTACTTCTTCCTCTGCAACAAACCAGCAGAACAAAGTTGTAGAAATGTTTTGTCACAATTCATAGAATCATAAAATCATAGAATAGTTAGGGTTGGAAAGGACCTTAAGATCATCTAGTTCCAACCCACCTGCCATGAGCAGGGACACCACACACAATTCATCAAACTCTGAAGAGGATCTTTGTCATCAGCAATCTAGATTTCTTTTTGCCTGGTTAAACAGTTAGAGGTCATCTGTGTGCCAAGCTGAGCTGTAGAGAAAATCCCAAAAAAGTGAATCTTTAAGAACAACCTATCAATCACTAACAGTGTCCAGCAGAACTGCTTGTCTGGACAAAAAATTAGACAGTTTCTTGAGTAATGTAATGTTCTGTGAGTCCTATCTGCTTTCAAAAAAGCTAATAAACTAAATCCCATGCCTCCTCAAGACTAACAGGGAAAGTCAATATCACTTCCTAGCCTATAAAAAACATAGAAGTCATCAGGAGAATCGTGCTTACACTATGTGCCACTGCATCATGTAAAACTTAAGAATTAAAGGAAATTTATATGTCCATCCCATCCTGCCCCCCCAAAAAATTTAAAATATTTTCATAAGGAAAACTTACTGCTGTGGCCTCCTGATCTAGGCACTGTCTTGGGACTGACACAGATATTTGAGTGTGGTCATAACAACTCTGAATGCACATTAAGTTTCTTTACCTGACATACTGGTTTGATTTAAAAGAAAATATAGATCAGAATGTATATCTTTGTTTCCTGAGGTTCAAGTGCCATATGATTATGATTGCTGAGAAGAGCACAGAATCTGTAACCCTACAGAAATTTTGGAGGTTACTACCAGATAATTCAAGTGGATCTTATATAGAATGAGATCTAACTGTAGTTTACAAATTATTGATGCTTTCTTTTATTTGTCAGACTTTGTAGAGTGGTGAAAAAATAGTGTTATAACAGCTACTGCTTCCTAGTAAACTAATAGTAAAATCATGAAAAACAATTAAAAAGTATATACTCAGAAAATTTATTCTCAGCATTCAGTTCACTCTCTTCTCTGTCAACAGTCTGCTGTATTATAAAATAGGATCCTCATGGACAATAAGCAATATTTGTACAGCTTTTTTTTTAATGAAGAAATAAACTTCTGTTAGCTTTTGGGGTCTGAAAAGGCAGTGAAATAAAGGAACTTGGCGCTAATAATGAACTAATTGGTAATAAGGCAAAACCAGTTTGGATCTTTTTAATTAAAGACAACTATGCCCTATCTTCACCCCCATCTGAATAGTATCCACAGAGTGTGCATGCATTTTTCCATTTGTTTATTTATAGTCTAGATTGCCTAACAAGCAGCTTTTTACCCATATTTGTCAGCAGAAGTCAGCATATTTTAAAATACAAATCAGGATGCTATGTTAGAAACTAGAATTTTTCTGAGATACTTCCACAGATGCTAACATGAGCAGAAAAGTAGAACCTGGAAAGAATTGTAGGTGGGGACATGTTTTACTTTCTCTATTTGTTTCTCACCATCCAACTCTATTTTTAATGGGCAATAAATTAATTTTCCCAAGTCAAGTCTGTTTTGTTCCTGATGGTAATTGATAAGTGATCTCCCAGTCTTTATTTCAGCTCATAAGCTTTTCCTTCCTATTTTCTTTCCCTGTCCTGTTGAGAAGGGGGAGTGAGAGAGCAGCAGGGTAGGCCTCTGGCAGCAAGCCAAGTCAAATACACCACACAAGCAAACTGGTGTGAAAGATGACAGAGAAAATGTAGCAGTGACTACAATAGCAGTCTAAGGAGTGAAAACATCACAAAACAAAGTGAACTTCAATTCAATCTTACCTATCAAGCCTATCCCAGCTCAGAATGTGAACTGAATCTCAGAATTCTCAAGACGTATGTCTAATTTTCTTTTTTCTTTTTTTTTTTTGTTTTGGAGTTTTTGTTTGTTTTTTGTTTTGATGAATTCTTAATACTTCTTTCACACAGTGTTGAGATTGACTTATTTGCTTTGTCTCTCAATGATTCTCTCTATGTCTGTATACAATAATCAAGGAATAGCGGTTTGATGAAAGCGTTGTGGTTTGGTTTGTTTTTTTTTTTTTCTTTTTGCTTAGATGTACATTTGTGTCAGGAAGCTTAAGCATTTTGACAACACGTCTGTGGTGGATAGGGTGCTAATGTAAGGGTAGAAAAATACAGAAGGATGATTGTGAAGATAACCTGAAAGAAGATGACTAGACCAAATCTGTGCAAGTAGTGTCTTTGTATGTGTGCCTTTGTGTGTGAGTAAGTATGCATGTATGTGCATGTAAGAATGTAGAGTCAAAAAAGGAAAATTAAATTAGAGAGAGCATCACTCCATATCTGGGACCGTATAACTCTGTTAGAACCGAGTCCCACTAACACAGATTTCCAGAAATCAAGAGGAGTGAGACATAAATCTGGAAAAGAATTTGAAATAAAAACTCTTCTCTGAATTGTGTTTTAAATACTTTCTATTTTTTTGTGAAATTCAGTCTTTGAAAGAGTCCCTCTGGTATAATTAAGTCTTATAGCATGATATCAGAGTGCATTGCAAAGCTGAAGTAAATAGCCTACAGAGGAAAAGAGGTCTTCTACTAGAAGAGATTGATGTACATTTTGCTACCTTTTCATGTAAAGTCATACTCTTCAGCATGCAACTCTTGTTCTTACTTGGCTCCTTTAGCTACATGAATTAGAACAGGTTCTGGCAGTTAGAAGAATATGTCTGTGTCTTTTTGAAAATGCTGTTTTTACTGATAACTTTTTCTGTAACCTTCATTTTGAACAGTAATCTCCATCTTGGGTGAAGAAAATGAGCAGATTATATTGTTAGCATTGTATGTTTTAAGATTCCACTATGAATGTTGGATGAAAAATGACAGATAGTGATTTAAATATCATTCAGAACCCTGACATTTCTTTTCCAAAGGGAATTCTGTAACTTGAAAATTCATTTTGAGCTTGATTTTGACGTTTTTTTTAGAAAAGTAGGATTTCAGATCAATACCGAATTTTGATTTTAAGAAATATGCTTGGTTTAGACTTTCACCTTCTCATATAAGGTTTTCAAGAAGTAATTTGGAAATTTGTAAAATCCAGAAATGCTGAAACAGGATGCCTTTTACACAACCAGACAGCTTCCTTTGTATTTTTTCTCAAGTCAACTTCTGTCAAATTGACAGTTATTGAAATCTAGCCCCATTTAAGAGAAACAGCAGTTTCGTTTTCAAAAATAGAAGGCCAGCTGGGGTAAGTGGAGAGGTAGGAAGGACTTCATCTCCCTAAACAAGAAGCTCTTGAGCTTGTTTCCTCTTTTCAAGCACAATGACAATCTGCCATTCATCAAATTTATTCACCAAGAGAAGATTTTAGAAGTGGATTACTTTTACAAGCTGAAAAGATTTGGGAGTGCTCTGGAAAACCTCTGGAGGCAAAATTAAAAATTTTGCTGACTAGAAGCCTAAGGAAGATAAAAGGACAAATAGTTTGCTCAGACAGCATGGCTCCAAGGATTATTTTCACATGGAGATACTATGGAGATGCCCCTGCTGACAACATGAGTGAAATT